TAGTTGTATCGGCGTCGTTGGAGATAACGGCGAGGTTTCAAACCGCATAGCAAAAACACGAGGCGCTTTGATAACCTACGCTAACTATGGTACCGACGCGCCATCACTCACGCGCTGAAGGGTAGAGTGCACAATGCTGCGGTATGTTCGCCCGTACTGTACCGTTGTGAAACCTGGCCCGTTAGCTCAGCCGACATAAAAAGGGTAGTAACATTCGACCGACGGTGCCTTCGCAGTTTGGAAAACATCTGGTGGGAACATCATGTGAGCAATGAGCGTGTTCGGCATCTTTGGTTATGGATCAGGAAGAGAAAATAAACTCTTCAGCACCATTACCCAAAGCACCGGACTATTATTGCTGAGTCACGTGTTAAGCATGTCAGCACACGGACTCCCGCGACATGCGCCGTTTCTGGTCCGGGGGGTGGATGGAAGAAGAAGAGGTGTGGCCAAGCGGTGACTTGGTCTAGAGGAATGAAAGCCCTTAATTTGAAGTCGGCCTCGGCTGGAGCCTCTCGGAACTATCGATTAGGTCAGAAAGAGTATGAACACATTTGCATAGATATACTAGTTGATAAAAATAGCAGCCAAACCTCGTAGGGTTGTATTCTGTTTGATGGTCATTAAACCTCCCGCTTAGCATTCACCACCAACCACCATCTGAATGCCAACGCATAAAACTTTTTATAGTCGAATAACAGCCGGTTGATACATCTCTGGAACAATTTCCTACCCTCAAAGGTGGCTGAGTTAGCGTGCTTGCGTTGCGGGACTTCTCCCTCATGCACTGTGTGGCACAATGACGGAGGTGATTCCTCCCTCTAGCTAAAAAGAATACGGTTAGACAGACGAAAGAAGGCCGATGAGCGTTCATTTACCTACCGTGGCTCGCTTATGGTGAACGCCGGTCATTTACGGTTGTTGTCCCCAACATCCAATAACCATCCAATGTTTAGCGAAATTCGCAACATGCTACTGCGCGTGCAGAGACATGAATTTCTCTCTCACCTTAGTGGTGAGGACGTATGGAATTCTCGGCAGACGAGTGATTTAGTGCAGGGCTCAGCTGAGAAAAAGCGTAACCTCTAAAGACGCACCGACATGAGGCTGTTTTGATCATCGAGCGAGATGAGTACAGACAGCCACAACGTGTTTCCGGCGTTCGTTAGCTGTCAGCTAACTTCGCGCTGAGTGCTGAAGGTCATGGCCAACCGTAGGCGTTGGAGCGATCGATGGTTATCTCTGTGTGTCCCGCTGGCTACGCAGCGAAGTCGGCCTAGGTAACCAAAACTGCGGCGTGAATCTGCGCACGTGGTGGCAGCGCAGCTGAGGACAAGGTTAGGCATTGCAACTTTTGCCAATGTTATTGAATCACAGGTAATGGAGCACGAGCAGACAATACAGTCAGGATCACATAACGTTTCTTACTCAGCGCGCGCTGATTATTCGGCTGTACGGTGAATGCGGTTTGAACGCCGCATCAGATTTAAGAAAATACAATGCATTGAACGTAGGAATGCGTCCCGTCACCGCCCGGTACGTGCTTAAACTAATGAAGAAGTTCGAGCAAACTGGAAGTGTGTGTGATATGAAGAGAACCGGACCGAAACGCATCACCACGGACGACTGTTCAGCTTGCGCTGTAGTTAGTAAAGTGACAAAATGTCCCGATCTCATCATTCGTCGGATCGCACAGCACTGTGACACGACCCGATATGCGGTACACCGGATAGTACTGGAACGAAAATTTCGGAGATTCCGTATACTTCGAGTGCAGGTTTCGAACCCATGTGATCCGGAGAAGCGGCATGAATTTTGCCGCTGGTTTCTGGATCCCGTGGGTATTCGTTCTGTTATCGTTGCAGCTGAGGCATTATTTCATCTGCATGGAACAAAGAAACATTACTGTTGGGCTACCAGCAACCCACGAAAATTTACCGCATCACGTATGCACCACAGCGTGGAACTGATGGTTTGGGCCGGATTAACAAGCCAGAAAATCTTGGGCCCATATTTCTTTTCAGGGAATGTGACCGGTAGGTTGATGTTTTGAAGTACTAAAGCCTTATCTTTTCCTAGCATCGTCGTATTTGGAAATGCTGCAGACATTTGTGCTTCCCCAGTTGGAGGCCGAAGGGGCATGCAGTACCATTTAGTGGCAGCAGGATGGTGTACCTGCACGTTCTGCTAAAACGGTGCGTGCATGCATCGCCGACAAATTTGGCCACCATTGGATTGGACGCGGTGAACCAATGGAGTGGCCTGCTCGCTCACCAGAGTTGAACCCCATGGACTTTTTCTATGGGGCTATCTGAAGCGGCGAGTGTACAGAACAAGGCTGGGTACATTGGACCAATTGAAAGAAAAGCTTGTGAACGAATGTCGCGCGATCACGAGGGATACATTGGCGAAAGTGCTCCTCAATTGCAGCAGACGGTTTCTGCACTGCAAGCAGAATGCCGGCGGACATGTTGAACATATCTTTCACCAGCATAGATGATCGTTCGAATACATTTCTGTTAATATACTTATCCTCTTTCACAAATGTGTTAACGACTAAACTGATCCTCTGACAAATGGTGCTAATGGTGCCATAAGTAGTCATCGAACGTTTCGGTGCCTACGCTGTTTATGTGCTCAACGACAGCCTGGATGTTAAGAATTCTATCCGACCGGACGCACCATTAGCACCATTTGTCAGAGGATCAGTTTAGTCGTTAACACATTTGTGAAAGAGGATAAGTATATTAACAGAAATGTATTCGAACGATCATCTATGCTGGTGAAAGATATGTTCAACATGTCCGCCGGCATTCTGCTTGCAGTGCAGAAACCGCCTGCTGCAATTGAGGAGCACGTTCGCCAATGTATCCCTCGTGATCGCGCGACATTCGTTCACAAGCTTTTCTTTCAATTGGTCCAATGTACCCAGCCTTGTTCTGTACACTCGCCGCTTCAGATAGCCCCATAGAAAAAGTCCATGGGGTTCAACTCTGGTGAGCGAGCAGGCCACTCCATTGGTTCACCGCGTCCAATCCAATGGTGGCCAAATTTGTCGGCGATGCATGCACGCACCGTTTTAGCAGAACGTGCAGGTACACCATCCTGCTGCCACTAAATGGTACTGCATGCCCCTTCGGCCTCCAACTGGGGAAGCACAAATGTCTGCAGCATTTCCAAATACGACGATGCTAGGAAAAGATAAGGCTTTAGTACTTCAAAACATCAACCTACCGGTCACATTCCCTGAAAAGAAATATGGGCCCAAGATTTTCTGGCTTGTTAATCCGGCCCAAACCATCAGTTCCACGCTGTGGTGCATACGTGATGCGGTAAATTTTCGTGGGTTGCTGGTAGCCCAACAGTAATGTTTCTTTGTTCCATGCAGATGAAACAATGCCTCATCTGCAATGATAACAGAACGAATACCCACGGGATCCAGAAACCAGCGGCCAAATTCATGCCGCTTCTCCGGATCACATGGGTTCGAAACCTGCACTCGAAGTATACGGAATCTCCGAAATTTTCGTTCCAGTACTATCCGGTGTACCGCATATCGGGTCGTGTCACAGTGCTGTGCGATCCGACGAATGATGAGATCGGGACATTTTGTCACTTTACTAACTACAGCGCAAGCTGAACAGTCGTCCGTGGTGATGCGAGGCGGTCCGGTTCTCTTCATATCACACACACTTCCAGTTTGCTCGAACTTCTTCACTAGTTTAAGCACGTACCGGGCGGTGACGGGACGCATTCCTACGTTCAATGCATTGTATTTTCTTAAATCTGATGCGGCGTTCAAACCGCATTCACCGTACAGCCGAATAATCAGCGCGCGCTGAGTAAGAAACGTTACGTGATCCTGACTGTATTGTCTGCTCGTGCTCCATTACCTGTGATTCAATAACATTGACAAAAGTTGCAATGCCTAACCTCGTCCTCAGCTGCGCTGCCACCACGTGCGCAGATTCACGCCGTAGTTTTGGTTACCTAGGCCGACTTCGCTGCGTAGCCAGCGGGACACACAGAGATAACCATCGATCGCTCTAACGCCTAAGGTTGGCCATGACCTTCAGCAATCAGAGCGAAGTTAGCTGACAGCTAACGAACGCCGAAAACACGTTGTGGCTGTCTGTATTCATCTCGCTCGATGATCAAAACAGCCTCAGGTCGGTGCGTCTTTAGAGGTTACGCTTTTTCTCAGCTGAGCCCTGCACTACTTCACTCGTCTGCCGAGAATTCCATACGTCCTCACTACTAAGGCGAGAGAGAAATTCATGTCTCTGCACGCGCAGTAGCATGTTGCGAATTTCGCTAAACATTGGATGGTTATTGGATGTTGGGGACAACAACCGTAAATGACCGGCGTTCACCATAAGCGAGCCACGGTAGGTAAATGAACGCTCATCGGCCTTCTTCCGTCAGACTAACCGTAATGATGAGGACCTTGCAATTTTGAGGTACGAGGCAAGTGCGAAAGAGAGCCGCACTGCGCGCGAGTTTTTATTGCACACTAGCTGAGTCCAATCGAAAAACACGTGCGAGGCCTATACGGTATCCTACAAGCGGGTATTCAGTAAAAAGTCCATTCAAAAACTTTCACATTCTTTCCCTCGGACGTCGGATGAACAGAGAGGTGGACAAGCATAAATACAATCAACTGAAAATTGAACCCGCAATATCGACACAGGTCTGATCCGCCAACAGCGACGACACGGTACAAAAGGAAGAGTGAATGAAACCAGTCGTTATGCGGAAGTGATGTCTAACTTTCGGAGTCAGTCGACTGTCCTCATTTTAACGCTGTGCACCGAGTTACGCAGGTCTAAGCAAGTGTTATAGTTGAGCGGTCACCGTATAGTAGGAATGGTTGGATGATAAATCAGCCGTTTAAGCAAGGTTTATCAAAACAATAGGGTGAAAGGCCAGACATACAACGTATCTATAGAACTGTGGTAAACGCGGTCTAGATAACTAACTCGCGTGAAAATATGCCTTACCGAGAAGTGCACAAGTTATTGTATCGAGATCGTCAATGCGATGGGTAGATCGTATATGCGCAACTCCGTTCATTTCTTTATTTGATTTTATGTGGATCGCGTGATGATCATACGGCCGCTTTACATCAAGCAGCTTGGGTATCGTTGTAAGGCGTTTGCTCTGAAGCTCGTCGGAACCATTCCACCACGGCGCAGTTAGTTGGGCAATGTAGTTCGCTGAAGGACGCCGATGGGGTTCGTTTGACCAACAGGCCGAAAGGAGATGGAGGATATGAAGCGGTGTTTCTATGGCACGCTGTGAATAAAGAAGCGGTAAAAATTAGGAAAACAGACAAAGTGGCTATAGCGCGTGATTTACGAGTAGTCATGGACACTTGACGTGAATGTGCGTGTGGCAAAAATTATTAGTTATATCCTCACATCGTGAAACATACGTGCCCTAAGAAGTTGATATATGCTTAGGGACAGAGACCTTGATCCATAGACGATAGTTAGGATAACGCAGACGCAGAGAAATAGAGCCGTGATGCTGTTTCTCAACTAGTTGACAGGAATCCTTTCCACCCATTCCCGAAAATTGTGTAAAAAGCAAGAGACCATCAGTATTTGAGTATTGAGAGCTGCTACTAAGTGCTCAACTGCAACTCATCTGGTGCAGCGCAAAATCATCGCCTAATCTTTGGCAGTATATATTGGCTGGGACACATCATTATACTTATTTCGGCCGCTTACGTCACGTAATTTTAGTACGCCGATGCTGGCTGAGTGAAACCCCAAAGCGGCCGCATAGGTATGAAAAAGTGATCGGAAGGCACGTTTGAAACCGATGAAGTTCAGCGTGGCGTGGTCCAAAAGCCAATGATGTCCTTTTGCTGGATCAGTGGATTCCGCATGTTAAAATTCCCACCCACAACTAATATCATCTGGAAATAGAGATGGTTTTCCGTATGTGAAGCAATCAAATATGTCGTTAACATGCAGAAGGAATAGTAGTGAGCCCAGAACACCCTCCTAAAAACGCCACTAGTGACGAGCCATTATTATGACTAGTTTAATCAACAGACCATCGTACGGGACTCGGTTGAAACCCTTTTTGCGTCTGAAATTACTTCTTGTGTTAAAAGATCCAGAAACTTGAACTGGAAAGTCTGATAGGACTTAGCCAAGAAAAAGCTACGTTGGAACTTGTTAATTAAGCTGCATGGTAGTAAAAATCCCGGAATGTCTTCTTTGACTATCCTCGGTATCACTGGTGACGCAACAGACGTGTTGCCGATCAGACGGTAGTTGTCAACGTTCTGGGGAGAACCACTTATTTGTCTTGGTAGGACAACAGCAGGCTTGCATGCGGCAAGGAAGGTGCTGCTTCCCATTGATAGTGTGTTCAGGAATGTGATTGTGATGCCAGGACCCCTAACTTCAGCAATAAGGAAAGTGAGTCACCGAATGACTTGATCACACGAGGGATAATGCGCAAATTAAAAGTAATACTGGGTAGTTTATCTTCTGTAAGTCTAGGTACATGACCTGTGGGTATAATATAACATCAGTAAAGGAGTTTCACAAGTTCCTGTTTAGAATGTCACATAATTCTCCCAGTTAAGTAAACATTGTTCTGTTCGTCGCAATCAGCCGACAATTCAGATATGTCGACCAGCTGTCCGGAAAAGCACCAGACGGCCGTTTCGCCCTATTGGGGCTCATCAGTGGTGCGCATCCTTCGGTCCTCTGCGGAGGATCGAACCCATGGAGGATGCGTCGGGCTATATCGCATTTAGCTAACAATTGACGATAATTAGATACCGTCCTCCATGGCCCAGTTGCATAAGCTGCGGGCTAGTTGGCAAGAGCCACTAGCAGTCATGGGTTCGATCCTCCGCAGAGGACCGAAGGATGCGCACCACTGATGAGCCCCAATAGGGCGAAACGGCCGTCTGGTGCTTTTCCGGACAGCTGGTCGACATATCTGAATTGTCGGCTGATTGCGACGAACAAAATACTCACCAAAATCCTTCTATTCATAAGTAAACATTGTTCTATCCGGTAGCACTGGTGACGTAATGGGTGTCACATTACGAGTAGCCTCTATGCTTTAAAATATTGGTAAGCGATTTTGACGGATTTACGCTTAAAAACGCAGTTCCCTCCTGTGCAGACTTCATCAAAGCCTGTGTGTTCCTCCACTGCAGCGTGTTCATTGATGCACGCAATAAGATGAAACTCCTTTTACAGCGGGACAAATACTGTTGTTAGAGTTACCCGGGTTGGTTGAGAGCATGGTCTATGTCCACGTGGCTTTGGTGTGAGTATATTCAGGCAACATAAAGGCTGCAACCCTTGCAGGCTTTTGGAAAAGAAGCTTCGAAGGCTTACACGAGTGAGATGACATTTAATTGAATAGTGATAAGAAGCGGATTGATTGATTCTGCTCAGGAAGCAACACTTGCAGGCTACTGGAAGAGGTTTGAAGGCTTAAAGGTTGACTGCACGGTTGCCTTACCTGCACGCTTGCCTACCTGGTCACACGTGATACAGTATGCATAGTGTAATCGTGCCACTGCGAGCAATCTAGAGAATCGATAGGTATTCGATTTCGTTTAGAAAATGCATGTGATTGTTAAGGCAGTGTGAGGTAATCAGACACAATACACTACTTCGTATGATGAAGAGAAAGCTAGGACTTGTTCGCAAATAGAAAGTTTAAAGAGTTTCTAGCTACAGTTGGTCGTACACCCATGTGAACAGTGTAGCTACGTACTGCTGCTGTAGTCGGCGAACTGTATACTAAGGCCAAGTTCGCTGCGTAGGTAAGACCATCAGTGGATCTGTAGCCATTGTTCCAAAGAGGAGAGTTCCTAGTGTGGCGGTGACACGACATTAGTGAGTGTTCGTTCGTCTCCACACCTGTGGGACACTTCGGTAATGAGGTACCGCTACAGGACCCATGGACCTGCCGTTAGGTTAAGGTCGTAAGATGCATGTCAATCCTGCGTTTCAACATGATATTTACACTTCACTTCCAAGTGATTGATAAGCTTGAAAAACCAAATGACCCTACGGCCCTGATATGATCTACCAAGGAGCATTGCATGCGCATTATAAGCATAGGGTTTGGAGCAATTTTCCTCCTTCAACAATGCCTCCGGAATTACCTACTTTCCAATGACGTACTGTTTCCGAGTAGTTGCCAAGTCGATAACAACGTGTGTCACGGCGTGCACACATGACTGCTGCTAAGGCTAGCTAAAACAGTGGTCCATAGCAGGATTAGTGGGCGCGATTGCCTTTGGAAATGATTGCAAACACATTGTGGGAACGCCGGTGGGTGAGACAACAGTGTTTGTCTGTTCCAAGTACTCACCTGAATTACCAGAGTAAAATGCGTGCGTCGCCACTAATTATCAGCCTTGTGCTTTTTCTAGCAGGACGATGTGGCATGTATAAATACGGTAGTCATTGTAATCCCTTTAAGTGTTCCTTTGTTGAGTAATGCCGATTTCATGAGGATAGCATTCCAGTGCATGGACGTTATGGGGAGGTTCCATCTGCATTGACTGTGCTTCTAATGGTGCCATTCGGAGAGCCACTTTTCAAAGTGTTTCAACAAGTACGGGCGACCATATTGAAGCGAAGCCTAATTATCCTATGAATACGTAGGTTCGGTATCTTTCCTATGACTTACATTTAACGGCATACACGTAGACAATGAAGCGATAACTGATTAACAAAGTCGCCCATGGGTGTAGAGACAAACGAACATTCATTAACGTCGTGTCACCGCCACACTTGGAATCCTGGTACTTTGAACAATGTACTGCGATTCAATGACGCTTTTATCCAACCAGGGAACTTGCAAGCGATACATAACGTAACCACTACATTAGCGATGCATAACCACACTATTCACATCAGCGTTCAACGCACTGGAGTGTCACGATAGGTGGGCTCTGCAATTTGAACGGCTACGAAATTTCCATTTGTACGCTAGTTCTTCGCTTATCTAGTCTCGTTCGCAACAGTTTTCCAACCCCTTATGCAGTCACCTGTAATTGTTAGAAGGAAATGAAGCATTGCTTGTCCGGCAAAGGCGAAGGCATCCATGCTATTGCGTTACATCACTTTTGGGCCTCCGCACAAATACTTGGCACTCAACCCTTAGCGAAGTACTGCGGCCTGCGCGACTTCGCACTAATAGACATGCGCCGTTTGCAACACCGTTCACTCACCCGCTTTTAACCATCCGCTTCCCCATGATTTAGGACTGCAAGCAACCAAGAACACTAACAACGGTGATAAAATGTCTGCGCCTACTAAAGTACTGTACATATGCTGCCGAGTATGTAACGCACTTTATTCCTTCCCGTTTATCGAGGAAATGTGGAACGTTATGTGCACAAGTGTTTTATTCAAACGGCTGCAATCTATAAATCGGCAAAATGAATCACCCGTCCGTAATTCTTCGCAACTTGTCTCACCATCTGCTCGCAATGGTGTCACATAACGCAACCTCTCGCTGCAAGCAACACCTGCACGAGAAATCGTGTGCGCCACTCGCCAGTGCAAAGAATCCCTTCTGGATCCCGTCTAAGCATTTCCGCATACCTCCTCCTTATGATGCCCTTCACGTACGTCTTCACAACACTCCACACGCCTTCGATAGGGTTTAGCGAAGGATAGTACGGCGCTAGTCGTAGTAGCATTCCTGCTCGATACCCTTCCTCCTTGAAAACCTCCTGCACATCTGTGTGGCACGGTACGTTGTCACAAATCAGAACACACCGATCAATAAAAGCGGCTCCCTGGGAATCCAGAAGTTCTCGATCCCACTGCGTGCATCTCTGCTTGTTGAAGCTGCCTCTTAAAACGGAGAAGACTATCAGTCCCTCGCTCGTCATTGCACCCACAACGTGCACATTCTGCCCGCGGCTGGTCGCCACCGTGCACAGTGCTCGAGTTCCCCTCCGTGAACGACCCCTGGTGCGACTACAAAATAGATTAAAATTGGTCTCATCAATCCAAACGGGCTGTCTCCCTTCTGCCTGCAACTGTAGCAGCCGCAACACAAACAGTCTCCGTCGCATTTTGTGCGTCAAAGTGTTCATGGATTCCGGGATTGTGTGCAACTTCTTTAGTGTGATAAGACGACCGTCAAGGTATCAGGAAACTATAGTGATGGTAACTTCAACATCGTATTCAGCCTTCATCCGCCAACAGAGAGTTGATAAGATAACGATCGGTTCTTCCGATACCCACTCGATCAGTGCATCGATATGATTTTCTGTCAGGGATCTGCGGCGAGCCGCACCGTATCGCCCCCTCCGTTCCACCGATTCTAACATCCGTATCCAACTACGGTACGTGCTTTCTTTCACATTCAATAATACAGTAACATTCATCCAATTCTCCCCTTGCTCATAGGCACTCAAAATTCGTTCTCTCACCTCAGGCGAGTGTCGCACGTACGGTCCACTTTGTTTAGTGCGGTCTACGCCCAATCCACGTCCGAACACAGACCTCTTAGCTGCCTAGTAGCCCACCGCAAATCAAAAAACCGAGGTGACATCACGACGTTACTTATAAATATTGCGCATTGTAATTTACTTGGCACATTCCTTCATCGCGTGAACCCACTCCATTGGCTTACCCTTGCTATTTGCCTAAAGACGGGGGGTGTGATGCCATTGGTTTACTTTCCTTCCAAAATGTCATACCGTCTAAAACCACCTTTAGGCGGGTTGCAGGAGTGCCATTGCTCATTCAGCTTAGGATTTGCAGTGTCCAAGGCACGGCGCATGCCTGACCAACCGCAAATGCAGACCTGTCTGACTCCCTCAGATCTTAGGGACTGCGGAATACCTGTTAGAAGATTGCCTGTCTACACCACCATGGTTAGTACGCTGAATAAGCCCCCACCAGGTAGCCGCTAGCAATCACTAAGTATAGACTGCTTCATGTGCTGCTTAGTATGTCTGTCCGCACTGGTTACGGCTTAAGCTTCGGATCATGTGGTAGCTAGGATCTCCTCCTTAGAAAGGCATCACAAGTTGACTATTGGACGGTTTCAGTTTGTAGACCAATCCTCGAGGTTTCCTTCAGATAGGCATCAAAATAGAACAGAAGGTGGTGCTCGACCACTTTCATTGGACTGTCTGTCGCCTGTGCTGGGGGCTTCCAACCGGTGTCTCATCGGCTAACGTCCCATGACCAATGAGAGTGTCACGGACGCCGGAACAAGTTCTTAGCCGCGCTGACTTGGAAGCAATGCACGCGATTTCGAAAATCTGCTACGCTAAAAGCTTGGTACAATGCGCTTACATGCCTGTAAAATGTTATGGTCATCTCAAACGAGAGCTCCACTACCTACGATATTGTCTAGCAAACTCGCTTATGCGCAGATGATTCTTGTTGTCAGAAATAACTCAGGAACATTATCTTGTCTAGTGGGTGCACGTACATGCTGAGTTCAATGGCATGCCGTAATAATGTCTAATATGGCCCTGTATTTTAGAGGGGCCGTCAGGGAGTCCAATAGATGTGCGACTGAATAAAGTCACCTCCTATTTTGTGAATAAACGGTAGTACGGGAATTTGGCGGAAGAGCTGGGCAAGTTCCGTGGCAAGTCAAGGTGTTCCCCATTGCTCGTGGATGTTACTCCCGTTATTTCACGACCAGGCTCCGATGGCTGGGCCACGTGTTGCGCATGCCAGCCCACCGACTTCCACGACGTACGTTGTTTGCTCCCCGGGTGGGTGGATGGAAGAAGAGGAGAGGTGGCCAAGCGATGACTTGGTTTAAATTAATGAAGGCCCTCACTTCGAAGCTGGTCTCAGTTGGAGCTTCACAGCTCCCTGGTTGGGGTCCGAAAGATGATGAACACGTTTGGCTGGATACACTTGTTGATATGGCTGGGAGCCGACCTCGATGACATTCGTGCTGTAAGTTTCTTTGTCCCACCCCATCCCTTTTAGCCTCACCCTTCAACCACGATCCCATTAGTTAGTAGTTTATAATTTTGCATTGTTAATTATCATTTTCTTGCAGCATAATAGCCGGCAGGTAGCTTACTGGAACGATGCCCATACGTTACCGGTAGCTCAGCTGGCTTGCACCTGTTACATTTTATTCGCTTTGTTCTTTTAGGTATTGCGGCACAGTAGCTGTTTCCCACCTCTAGCTAACGTGTATAGTGTGTGTGTGTGTGTGTGTGGAGGTTACTAACAGTCAACTTGTTAGATGCGTATGCATGTAAAACGTAAGAACAACAAACCTAACATGGACGGCCTCAGTTTTACTCGAAGTGTGTACGAGCTAACCCAGCTTGTAGATGTGTTTTTGAGAGCGTAGAAGGAAGTAGTAATGGTTGTTGCGTTTCCTCATGGAACATGTTGACGGAGTAAAAGCTTCTCTGCAAAGTAACGCAAACTGCGGTGCGTACAAAGCACCAATCAAATGAATATGGCTTGGAAAAAAAGATAGAAAAGCGAATGTGATCGGTATGAAACTACGTAAATGTATTCGAAGTCGATGAAATGAGGAAATCCGTTTGAATGAGAATAGAGATAAAGCTGTATGTGCGCTGAAAAACAGTTTCAAATCAGGCGGGACCGGATACCTCAAAGAACTGTGACAAATAGGGTAAGTGAGCATGACGCGAGTGGCCCAACGCGAGGTGACCAGGCCCCATGGATAGGGGAAAAACGCTTAAGGAGTACTCGCAAACGATTGGCTATGTCATTCCGCCGTAACCTCGTCCTGAGTAGTTGTCGGATATCCTCACACGTCGAAACGCATGCAATCGATAGCGACTACATGATGGCCCAAACCGGTTTCAATGTTGCGTAGCAAAGCCTGTCCCTGAGTGTAACGAAAAGTAAGGCCTCTTTTTGATTTTCGCAAATGGAGAATGATATTGCGGAGAGGACAGCTGGGCACGGATGTTACAGAACAACGCGACCCCTGGAAGAAACACTGGTCGTTGTACAACATCCGGGACAGTGTATGCTTCAACTTGACTAGCGTGAATGCCGACTAAATGTATATGTGCTGAACTCGGGGGTGCAGCGGCGACATGAAGGAATAGGAGGGTCAAAGTGGAAACAATAGTGCCCAAATGCTGGCAGGTTAAGTTGGCATTCAGTCGCCCAAATTTGCTTCCAAAAAGTGAAACCTATCACCCGTTCACAACAAACAACTTAGAAGCAAAGAAGCCCAAGAATGGTGCTCACCGTCGGTATAATTTTCGGTCGCTTTCCAGATAGAACTTGTTGAGCCATGCTGAAACGAGTCGAGGCACATTGTCTGTATGCGGCCTGACAATTCACTAATTCACAAATGATAATCCCCATGGAGTAAATGTCTACCTACAGAGAAAAACAAAAAGCAACGTGAGGACGTTCAATGAAGAAACAAAAACCATTATCCGACGGCCTAAATGAACACTGACTCCAAAACGCGGAAACAAAGGAGGGATCACAAACCGATTACCAGTGTGTGTACACATACGCAACTCTTTCGGTTCATCACCACTGAGCAAACGTTACGCAAAAGATGATGGAACACACGGAGAAGCGAAAGAGCAGTCACTAATGACGTACGAAGACTTCACACCGAATTCTTGACAGCGATTGCTCTCTGGCGCATATCGTATGTCATACATGCTGTGGAACGCTGTGAGATTTAACGAGGACCAGGCATCCAGTCGAGCCACAGAAGCTAAAGTAGGCATCTGATTGACAAAAATACGACTGTCAATTGGTGACTAGCATGAGGGATCACGCGTCAAAAAACCATTTGTGAAAATAAGCAAGTGCATGCCGATTCTTTAAAGCGCTCGATTTATACGCTTGTTTCACTAGGTTTTACTTGTCGAATTGAAAAGAACACACGAAATTCCATCATGAGACGGCATGCCGCCAACTCCAAGGTGTCAGAATGATAAGTTAGCTTACAATCCCTAAAAGCGGAAGTTCATAAGACGCTTAGTAGCATGTGTAGTGCAGTTAAATAAAGGCGGATATATGCACGCTATCGTTTACGTGACACTGGATGTGAACATTCGAACGGACAGTGGAAAGGCCAATCGAAACAAGGGGCCAAATGTGAGAGCCGCTGCCATCCACTCCGAACTCAAATCCTGTTTGCGCGTCCATTGCAGATGGCATCTTGATTGACAAGCTTTCCACTCACATTGTGGCGATAAAAACGAGGCAAGCGAAATGGCTGTTGCGGGTCAAAATTTCTCAGCACGAATGAAAGCGGATTCAAATCAAGACATGCAGAAAAAAAGACGAAGAGGAATATGCCGCCGCGAGTTTAATCGCACCAACAAAACAAAGGAATACACAGAAAAACACCATTGCTATAGACAAACAGATACTGAGTTCTTTCAATAGCATCAATGGCTGTGCAATAAAAAATGCTAATCGAGCCACGGCGATAAGAGGTCGAAGTACATGGAGATCCAGTTGATATAGCCAGCGTCGCTATGATATTAGTTAACAAATACTTGAAAGTCAGACTGCAGAATCGCGTGATCTATTGTGACACAAACTAGTATTACCTAGTGTGATGGAAGCTGGAAATGCTGATGAATGGAAATGCTGGGGTACCGATAAGCAGATGACCAATCGAACGTCACCGGGAATCTCGCGCAGTACCAGACAGGTGCAGTCCAATAATTCGGAATACCTGTAGTTCGGGTTGATAGATAACGTTTTGATTCGTTCTCCGAGCTGAGTAACTTAATGACAAACGTTTCACCACTTGCCTTAGTGGCATCTTCAGTGCACTGCTGCGTGGAGAAAAATCTCACGGAAAGTGTTGTTGGGACGTAGCGCTTGAAATTGGCCTCGTCGATCTGTGGCCCATGACCTCGGTTTGTTTTGTTTTCGGCCGCCCAGTTTCACGCTTTCAACTGTAGATACACAGGATAGAGGTCAAAGCGGAGGTTCACTGAATTCTCTATAGAGAAGCATGTCTCGAGGAATTCTCTTCGTTTTCTTGTCCCTCCGTGCGCCAGAATTTCTGTGTTGTCCCAGAACGTTGTGTCCTTCCTCATCGAGATGCGCTGAGATCTGTGACGATGCATAATGGTATAGGCATGCACGCTTGTGCTATTGTATTCTCGTGGATAGTTTTCTCCCCGTTTGACCCACATAATCTTTCTCACAGTTCTCGCACTGTATCCTGTAGACGACATTTCGATGTTCGTGTGCCTCCAGTTTTTCTTTAGGTCAAGAGAAGATACCCTTCAAAGTCGCAGTTGGTATGTGAGCTATCATCAGATGCAGTCCAACCCGATAGAGAGTGAGCATGCCGTCGGAAGCCAGTAGGTCAGTCAAGCGGCAAATGGTTGGCGCACACTCGCATCGAACTTTGCAAGCACAATCAGCAATCATCCACTGAATGTGCAAGTGGCCACTCGGGCGACAGCAGGTTCCCAAAGCACATGCGAAGAAGCGCATACTTGTGAGGAGCTATTTGGTGCGTGCTTGAGCCAAGGTTTGTGGGACTGGACGGAGGGAAGAAGCGCACGGCCTGATGGACGAGTGCCAAATCGAATCAACCGTACGATCCACCAAGAAAGTCAAGGTAATTTTAGACAGAATGAACGTCGCGAGCAAGCGCAAACCAATGGAAAGGGAGCCAAAGATAGAATGCAAATAACAAGAGTGAGCAAGTGAAGCGGACCGTTGCAAATAGCTTAAATACCCAATAAATATGCGAGCGTAATATCAATAAACGACTTCGTGATCGCGGTCCAGTCTTCTTGCTTTTCGGAGAGCTACACGAGACCCAGCTTTGGAGGGTCATGGTGAAGCCCTCGTCCTGTGAATAGATGCGATGCACAACCTTAATGTGAACCGCGCTTTCATTGGAGTAAACTTTGGACAATTCAATTACTCGGACCGTAAATGATGAAGCTGGTAGGAAGCGACCCACTTTTCAGCTGTCTCGCGTATTTGGTGTGGGTGTGTTGGCAGACCTATGCGGCTGCGCGACTCCGAACAGTGTAGACTATCATGACCACCAAACGTAACATAGCTTTATTCACCTTGTGCTACAAGAAAAAACCAAAATGAGCGGTGAGCGATGAGAGAACGCATCTCCGAGGCTAAGGGAGTCAGGCTATAGCAGCCGTTGAAGACAGCTCGCTTCAAAGCAGCCCGGAGAAAGTCTGTCGAAAGTCGTAGGAAGCTGAATGGCTAACCAATGAGAGTAAGCCAATGGCGTCGTTCTAACTTTAAATGGACCAATAAGAATGAGGTGTCTTGAAACTCTCTATAGCCTTTTGCAGGCATGTTAGCACATTGTACCAAGCTTTTAGCATGGCACCTTTTCGAAATCGCGTGCAACGCCTTCAAGATAGTGAGGCTAAGAACGCTGTTCCGGCATCCGTGACACTCTCATTGGTCATGGGACGTTAGCCAATGAGACACCGGTTGGAAGCCCCCAGCACAGGCGACAGACAGTCCAATGAAAGTGGTCGAGCACCACCTTCTGTTCTATTTTGATGCCTATCTGAAGGAAACCTCGATGATTGGTCTACAAACTGAAACCGTCCAATGGTCAACTTGTGATGCCTTTCTAAGGAGGAGATCCTAGCTACCACATGATCCGAAGCCTAAGCCGTAACCAGTGCGGACAGACATACTAACCAGCACATGAAGCGGTCTATACTTAGTGATCGCTAGCGGCTACCTGGTGGGGGCTTATTCAGCGTACTAACCATGGTGGTGTAGACAGGCAATCTTCTAACAGGTATTCCGCAGTCCCTAAGATCTGAGGGAGTCAGACAGGTCTGCATTTGCGGTTGGTCAGGCATGCGCCGTGCCTTGGACACTGCAAATCCTAAGCTGAATGAGCAATGGCACTCCTGCAACCCGCCTAAAGGTGGTTTTAGACGGTATGACATTTTGGAAGGAAATTAAACCAATGGCACCACTGCCACCGTATTTAGGCAAATAACAAGGGTAAGCCAATGGAGTGGGTTCAAGCGATGAAGGAATTTGCTAAGTAAATTACAATGCGCAATATTTATAAGTAACGTCGTGATGTCACCTCGGTTTTTTGATTTGCGGTGGGCTACTAGGCAGCTAAGAGGTCTGTGTTCGGACGTGGATTTGGCGTAGACCGCATTATACAAAGAGGATCGTACGTGCGACACTCGCCTGAGGTGAGAGAACGAATGTTGAGTGCCCATGAGCAAGGGGAGAATTGGATGAATGTTACTGCATTATTGAATGTGAAAGAAAGCACGTGCCGTAGTTGGATACGGATGTTAGAATCGGTGGAACGGAGGGGGCGATACGGTGCGGCTCGCCGCAGATCCCTGATAGAAAATCATATCGATGCTCTGATCGAGTGGGTATCGGAAGAACCGATCGTTATCTTATCAACTCTCTGTTGGCGGATGAAGGCCGAATACGATGTTGAAGTTACCATCACTATAGTTTCCTGATACCTTGACGGTCGTCTTATCACATTAAAGCAGTTGCACACAATCCCGAAATCCATGAACACTTTGGCGCACAAAATGCGACGGAGCCTGTTTGTGTTGCGGCTGCTGCAGTTGCAGGCAGAAGGGAGACAGCCCGTTTGGATTGATGAGACCAATTTTAATCTATTTTGCAGTCGCACCAGGGGTCGTTCACGGAGGGGAACTCGAGCACAGTGCACGGTGGCGACCAGCCGCGGGCAGGATGTGCACGTTGTGGGTGCAATGACGAGCGAGGGACTGATAGTCTTCTCCGTTTTAAGAGGCAGCTTCAACAAGCAGAGATGCACGCAGTGGGATCGAGAACTTCTGGATTCCCAGGGAGCCGCTTTTATTGATCGGTGTGTTCTGATTTGTGACAACGTACCGTGCCACACAGATGTGCAGGAGGTTTACAAGGAGGAAGGGTATCGAGCAGGAATGCTACTACGACTAGCGCCGTACTATCCTTCGCTAAACGCTATCGAAGGCGTGTGGAGTGTTGTGAAGACGTACGTGAAGAGCATCATAAGGAGGAGGTATGCGGAAATGCTTAGACGGGATCCATAAGGGGTTATTTGCACTGGCGAGTGGCGCACACGATTTCTCGTGCAGGTGTTGCTTGCAGCGAGAGGTTGCGTTATGTGACACCATTGCGAGCAGATGGTGAGACAAGTTGCGAAGAATTACGGACGGGTGATTCATTTTGCCGATTTATAGATTGTAGCCGTTTGAATAAAACACTTGTGTCCATAACGTCCACATTTCCTCGATAAACGGGAAGGAATAAAGTGCGTTACATACTCGGCAGCATATGTACACTACTTTAGTAGGCGCGGCCATTTTATCGCCGTTGTTAGTGTTCTTGGTTGCTTGCAGTCCTAA